ACCAGAGCAGAATTATGACAATAGGACAGGGGTCCGGTAGGTTCCCGTCGTCACGAAATGAACGGATGGGATCCCTACCGTTTTTTTTTGCAGAGAGGAAAGCTCTTTGCCGTCTCCACGTCCATGGATGACTGGATTCCATCTCCATTACTGCTAAATTATTATTGAAAAAGAAATTAAAAACTTTAATGAAAGTAAGACGAGTTAATCATTTTTTTTTTTGAAAATCCTTTTTATACAAATAACAGTATTTAAATTCTCACCATGCATTTAAAAAAAAAAAAAAATTAGCCGGTAGATGACACTCTCAATAAATTTGATCCAATATTTAATACTGTCTCTTTTTCTTATACCAAACTACGATGACTATTTTGTCTCTTACTTTTTTGGTCATTCCCATGCAATCTTCAGTCATACAAAAATTTCTAGAGATTATCTTTTCATTAATGACAGTCTCTAAAGTTGTTGTAAAAAATTAAAAGAATTTTATTAATGATTTAAATAATTTAATATTTATTTTTTTCAGTAAAAATAAAAAATTTTGAATTTGAATTGTATGTCATGTGGATAAGGTAAGATAAAAGATGAATGATAATTATTTTTTATTGTGCAACTAATATAAAAAAAAATTAAAAGATTTTCTTACAAAATAAAAGAACTTGACCTCAAGAGAATGTCCGTTTCAAGCTGGAACTGTGAATTCTTGTTAAAAAGTAAATTAAAACTTTAATAAAAGTGTGAAGAGTTAATCTTCATTTTATGTGAAAATTCTTTTTTAAAAAATAACAATATTTAAATTCTCACCAAAAAAAAAAAAAAAATAGTTAGTAGATGGCACATTCAATAAATTTGTTCTAATATTTAATAGGGTTGTGATATAAAAATAACTCTTTTATATTATTTTTTTATATAATTAAATGAATAAATATATTTAATATTAGTGTTTTAATTGAATAAAAAACTTAATTATTCTTCAATCATTTTCTTATTTAATATTGTCTATTTTTCTTGATGCCAAATATAATTGTCAATTTGTCATCTTATAAAATTAGAGAGGAAGCTCTGCTACCATGGTTATTTTGTCACTTTCCTTTTTGGCCACAGCCATTCATGACTGTAGGGGCGGGTGAGGAGATATTTCATAGGAAAATTTTGTAGTAGTAAAAAGAGTCAATTATTTAAATATTATGTAAATTTATATCAAAAATAATATAAAAAATTATTTTTAAATCATTTTCTTATTTAATATTGTTTTTTTTTCTTGATACCAAATGTAATTGTCAATTTGTCATCTTATAAAATTGGAGAGGAAGCTCTGCTACCATGATTATTTTGTCTCTTTCTTTTTTGGCATACCCATTCATGACTTTAGGGCCGGGTGAATAGAAATTTCATGGGAAAAATTCGTAGAGATAATGTTTTTTCACTAATGGTTTATAAAACTGTACGTCTTCAAAAAATTAATGATTTTTTTTTTTATATTAATTTTTCGATATTCGGTAATGTTATTAAATCTTAGTTAATCTAAAATTAAGTTGTGTCAAATCACATAAAAAAGAAAACTCTCCCGACGCTTGTTTTTCCATTTAGAATAATCAAATTCAAAATTTAATGTTATTTATTTTTCTTGATACCAAATGTAATTGTCAAATTGTCATCTTATAAAATTGGAGAGGAAGCTCTGCTGCCATGATTATTTTGTCTCTTTCTATTTTGGCCATACCCATTCATGACTTTAGGGCCGGGTGAAGAGAAATTTCATGGGAAAAATTCGTAGAGATAATGTTTTCTCACTAATGGTCTATAAAACTGTATGTCTTCAAAAATTAATGATTTTTTTATATATTAATCTCTCGATATTCGATAATCATATTAAATTTTAGTTAATTTAAAATTAAGTTACATAAGATCGCATAAAAAAGAAAGTTCTCCCTACACTTGTTTTTCTATTCACAATAATCGAATTCGAAATTTAATATTGTTTATTTTTCTTGATACCAAATGTAATTGTCAATTTGTCATCTTATAAAATTGCAGAGGAAGCTCTGCTGCCATGATTATTTTGTCTCTTTCTTTTTTGGCCATACCCATTCATGACTTGAGGGCCGGGTGAGGAGAAATTTCATGGGAAAAATTCGTAGAAATTATGTTTTCTCATTGATGGTCTATAAAACTGTGCCTCTTCAAAAAATTAGTGATTTTTTTTTTCTATATTAATCTCTAGGTATTTGATAATTATATTAAATCTTTACTAATCTGAAATTAAACTGCGTCGAATCGCATAAAGGAAAAAGCTCTCCTAACACCTGTTTTTTCATTTATAAGAATCGAATTTGAAATTTAATATTGTTTATTTTTGTTTTTTGGTACATAATATTGTTTATTTTTCTTGATACCAAATGTAATTGTCAATTTGTCATCTTATAAAATTGGAGAGGAAGCTCTGCTACCATGATTGTTTTGTCTCTTTCCTGTTTGGCCATACCCATTCATGACTTTAGGGCGGGGTGAGGAGAAATTTCATGGGAAAAATTCGTAGAGATAATGTTTTCTCACTGATGGTCTATAAAACTGTATGCCTTCAAAAAATTAAGGAATTTTTTATATATTAAATTTTTTTATATCCGATAATCACATTAAATTTTAATTAATATGAAATTAAATTGTGTTAGATTGTATAAGAAAAAAAATTCTCATAATACTTGTTTTTTCATTTATAATAATCAAATTCAAATTTTTATTTAAAAAAAATTAAAATTTTTCCATTCATACCAATAAATCATTGGCATAAGCCTCTTATAAAACAAAAGAACTTAATCTCTTGGGAAGGTAAGTTCTAATTTGGAAGTGTGAATTCTTATTTAAAAAGTAAATTAAAACTTTAATAAAAATAAGAAAAGTTAATCATTATTTTATGTGAAAATTTTTTAAAACAAATAACAGTATTTAAATTCTCACCATGCATTAAAAAATTTAGTTGGTAGATGGCATGGCACTCTCAATAAATTTGATCGAATATTTAATACGGTCTATTTTTCTGGATACCAAAATGTAATTGTCAGTCTTTCATATTATAAAAAATTGGAGAGGAAGCTTTGCGACAATGACCGTGTCGTCTCCTCGATTTTTGGCCATACCCATACATGACCTGTCCTAACATGTATTGTCCTACTCAACCCAATAATTTATACTTAACTTATAATTAATTAGTTAATTTCATTCCATATATCTTATATATATATATAATCTTAAATTGTGTAATGGGCAGTAACTCTAATTTTTTAACTCATTTCATTCCTACCGTCATATAATTTAAATTTAAATATATTATATTTATTTAAAAAATATTATTATTAAATTATTTAAATTATTAACAACAATAAGTGTGTTTTTAAGAATATTTTCAATTTTTTTAGTCATACCTAAAAAAGGTGTGACAATTAAAATAAACATAAAATAGTATTAATTATTATATTTTTTTTTGAACAAATTTACAAAGAGTCATATTTCAACCGTTGCCTTGAAAGTGAAAAAATGCATTTATACCTGGCCTATCCCCACTAAATCCGTACGCCAAGTGCGTATTAATTATTGTATTTGTAAAACAGAATAGGTAGAGTTTTATGAATATTAAGTGCAACCGTGCCGACCTAATAAATACTAGTGTCGGTCCTCCCCTAAATCATCAAAATTGGGAAAGAATCCGTCCAAGTAGCGGGCCCTCCTTGTCGCTATCCAGAAAATTAATATTAGTCCAAGCCCAATCCAGATCAATTTCCTGACCCAACTCGGCCCTTTTTTTAAAAGAAATAACAGGCCCATCCATGATATTTTGAATATATTATAACAAAAACAGATCATGCATTTCACCACATGGACACTGAAAAAATAAAATGAAATTATCCACCAATAGAAAGTAGGAAGAGCAGCCCATGATTTAAGTAGACCCACAACTCACCCCAAAAAAAAAAAATCCACAAAACATAAATGAAATGCATGCATGGAGTTTAAGAGTAAGGTTATGGCCAATGTTAAGGCTACCAAGTTCTTTAAAATATTATTTTTTTAAAAATTAATATTATTTAATTTGACTAATCAAAATAATTAATAATTATACTTATTCATTATTAATGAAATTTTCTAACATATGTGATCTTAAGGCACAAGTTAAGCTTTATCAATGCACTATTTTTAATTAATTTTACACAAATTTTATATCAAATTCAATTAAAATAAAATATAAAATGTTAAATTAAAATATAATATAATATTTATACTCAAAATCTGATGAAAGATATAAATCTGATCAGAATTTGTGTAACATTAATTACAAATTTTATAATTAATAGAGTTTAACTTATACTTTAAGAGTACATGTTAGATAAATTGATTATTAATGAATAAAATAAATAATATCTATTAATTAAATTAAATTAATATTATTAAATATAATATTTTATAAAATTTAGTAATCATAACATTAATAATGATGGCCATAAGCTTGCCCACAATTTAAGGTTTTACTAATTGGACTAGAAAAGTATCTAATCTCCTTCAAACATGCCCTGCACAACAATAATTGTTAGGTAGAAAAGAAGAAAACAACAGAAAAATAGAAAAGCTATAAAGATGTGATATGTTTTTTTAAGATTTAAAAACTTTTTAAGATACAATAAAATTTAGAAATTTTCTTAGAATTACATATAAGATTTCAACTCTATAAAAAAATTCATATTGATTGAATAGACACTAATTACATGATGATATCCATTCTAAAAAGATACTATTTGAAAAATACTGTTAGTTACCAAAAGTTATATTTGAATTTCAAAATTAAATTTAAAAAATTTAAAGTTAATAAACAAAAAATTCTTCCAAACGGAATATCTTAATTGGTTAAGAATTTCAAATTTTCATATTAAAAATTTCCTATTTGAATTTTGAGTATTAGTTGAGGGATTTAAAAAAAAGAATAAAGTTATATTTTCTTATATAATCTCTCATCATTTAAAGTTATATTTAAAAAAAACAAACACACAAAGTAAACACAAGGAAAATAAACCCTCACAGAGAAACAGAGAACAAAACATTGAATCAAGGAAGAAAAGATTTTCTGGTCATCATTTTAGTAAATCCAGAAAACAAAAATGGAACGCATGCGGTTTAAGGTTTACAAACACTTGAAAAAGTACGTAACGTCTGACAACCATGACATGCACAGATTGCAATCACTAGCAACATGCTATCAGGTATCACAAAGCATGAACCTAACAAGACCCCTGGTAACCTCCATTGGCTTCACTTTGGATCTGAGGTCCGTATACCATGGCGCTTGAAAAATTCTCTGAATCCATAGGCACTGAGGTCGTAATTGAACTGGTAAAACCCAAAATATTATCAACAAAAGGAAATGAATGGGGAAGGAAATTGCAGAAAAGAAAAGAAAAAAGGCTGATAGTTTTTATAATATGAATTTATAAATTTCTATTCACCTCATTCTCAATGCACACAACTCTAAATTGTTAGTTTTCAGAATACAAAACATATTATTTATTGAGCAAGAGTTCCATAGATCCGCTCAAAACAACCAATTCTCAAAACATTTGCATTAAGAGCTTTATTTTAACATAAAATTAAAATACTGATGAGCACGCACATTTTGGATTTTTTTCTTTTTAAATGTTTTTTTTTTTTTTAAAGAACGGGATACAAAACTCACAGGTAAAACTTTAACAGAGTATCTTGTAATATTTGCATCAGTAACTCTCCCTTGGTTGGCTACCTGCACCAAATAGACATATCAATGAGCAAGAGCCGCAGTATACATTTAAGTTTCAAGCATCATTGTTTGATAATTATATGAAGCATCAGTCAAAAGTTTGCAAAGTAACCACAAAGTTGTCGTAAAGAGCTTTATGAAACAGCTGAAGGGCAAATCAAAGCACTGACTGACATCTGACTTATCTACTCTATTGCTGCAAGGCCATGTCTATGTTGAACCAAAAGTATCAAATCTTATAATGAAATTTCTCCCATTGATTTAACTTATATAGAGTAACTGACTATAGAATCATGGATGTTGCTGCATAATAACACGACTATATTCAACAAGAATAATCACCAACTTGTTCAGGAGTATGAAATATCTCAATGAATGGATATTCCTTCTTCTGCCGTGCTATGCAGAAACCTGGATATTTTGGGCACTCAACCTGGAGAAGAATAAGACAAGAAACAAAATTATGATGACCGAAACAAATGACAACAGAAGTCAATGGAAGAAGAAACAATGAATAACAGGGTTCATAGTGGTCCTCTTATAACAAAGCAGAGATGGATTTGTCATCTAGGACTGTAAATTTGCAAAACTGTAGTGATCATATTCATCAAAAGATAAGAATTTATGTCTAATTAATGTATTAGAAGGAAACTCACACGCATAAATTTAATATGAGGATAAAACTCAGCAGCAGCTTCCTCCAACACTTTGTCAAGATGTCTTGTGTAATTACCTCTGTATTTTCCAAAATTAATAATCAGACCTGTGGAGTTAGATTACTGTTGGATGCAGATACAAGATGACAGCATCTAATTTCAAATACCTTATTGTGAATGCAACAACCACAGGATTGCCTTCATGAAGGAGCTGGACAAACTCACGTTCTGAATTAAAATGAATAACCCGTGATGGACCAAGATCTTTTGGATAGCCAGTATAGTACCTTGCATTTTCATGAATGGTAAGGATAAAAAGAAGAAATAAAAGATCTTCTCTGAAAACTACAGAAGTTATTTTGATAAATTATTTTTATTGGATTTGGAATCACATTGAAGACATGCTTTTCCTACTTTGTAAACAATCCTATAGAAATAAGCATTTGATTCATTGAACAATTGACAAGTTTTTTCACACCTAAAATCCAGTGTGACATGTCACTTACCGTACACAGAGCTTAAAACAAGACAATTTGAATGAAAAAGAGAAACTTGAAATTTATTCCATTAATTGGATGAAATACTAAACACAGAGTAAATTCAGTCTATTGCTCAACCCAGCATAACACTCCCTATAAGAAAAATGTGAATATGACGAGTTCAAACAACAGCCATAGGAAGGATATATTACTTTCCTTGTAGCAAAACAAGATATGCATATACATATATAAGAATAAAACAGAGAACAAAACATACTTGCATGTGGAACGAAGATGATTGATCATTCTATCAAAAAATGATGGCCCTTCCATTTGACTGTTCCCAATCCTCTTTTCAATTGTCTGAAAAGCTATGTCTTTTGTATATCTCGTCCAATGCCAAACTGAAAGGTACGAATTGCTGATGTATGAGGAAACAAAACATTAAAAACCATTTCAAATTTCAAGAAGGTATAAAAATCTTCAAGATTGACACAAGAAGATGGAGGGATTTCACAGTTTCAGCGTTAAACCTCCAACTCAACAAAAGACTGCCAATCCCAAGTTAACTTCCAATCAACCAGCTAGAACCCCACAACAAGCTCCTTGTACTCACTGGAACATAAACACAAACACCATAAGTGCGTTGCATATACGATACTGATTTACGAGTTCACCAGCATAACCCATGACCCAAGATCGACAACATCCACAAACTCGACAATACAATCCAACATTGTAAACTAAAGGTAAACGAAAACAATAACAACCCACTGAAACCGCTCCAAGACCCTTGAAAACCAACTCTAAAGCAATAAAAATGGTTACTTTGGCCTACCCACACCTCAAAGATGATTTCTCTGTCACCTCTGCCACTATTAATAACTTCAATTCGCAGCAATCGGTAAGAACCACAGGAGATCCTGAGGAAGAAAAAGAAAAACTTTGGGAGGAAATGAACAGTTTGGTGTTTGCAGAAGACGGAGTGAGTTTATTCCCGCGGCTGAGGCAATCGGGTCAGTTGGTAGGGTAAATATCATCGTTGAGTCCCTCATCTTATAATAATTTTCAATTGGATCCCAATTCTTTCATTTGAATTATTTGAGTTCAAACCTTTTAAATTATTTAAATAACTCCATCCTTTTTTTAGCATATCTTAATTGTAGTCCTATTATTTACAAGCCAACGACACCATTACCTTGTGCTTCACCAGTTTTTTTTTTTGATACTGACTGTGGATAAAAAGAGATAACTCCTTTTTTTTAAAAAAAAATTTTTTCCTAATCGACTCAAAATTTTAACATAAAATCTCCAATTTAAAATTTAAAATTTTTTAATTATTGAACCACACCTTTAAGATGTGCTGCTCACTTTTAATTATTTTTATATGATTATATTTAATTTCATCAAAATATAAAGTAATAGTGCATTTAGTTGATTAGTTTGATTTTAACCCTTATTATAATATAGAGAAGACAACTGGCTTTAACCCTTATTATAATAACACATATAGGGACTCCATTGAAAAGTAACAAAAGTAATAAGGATCCAGTTGAAAAGCATTTAAAAGAACAGGGGCAACTAATGAAAGTAGACTCTTTTTCAGCTAACAGCAACCTTCACATGACATGGATACCATATATGAAGCATTTCATGAAATTAGTAGGCAAATTAGCAAAACTTATAATGAAAGAAGCTAGGATCTTCACCACACTAGCTTTGTTTCATTTTACAGCTATTCCACATACATATCTAGCCTTGTATCTTATTACCAAAGGTTACAAAGAATATTACAACAACAGACCTTAATCTCATCCCCATTCCAACTCATCTCCGGAATCCAATAGCTACCACTGGAATCCTTACCTTGTGCCCTCTGCTTCCTTTCATTAGAATCTCCCCAAAATTGTAATTTCCGGTCACTGATCGAACCGTTAGAGTCACAGAGAACTTTCTTGATGCACCAGGTCTAAGGGTCATCGCTGGAGGGCTGGCTTCTATGGCAATGGATGGTTGCATTCTGGCTGTGATAACATAAGTTTCTTCTTCGGCTACATTTGTGACTGTGCGGGTAACTGTTTGACTTCTCACGAGATGTGAGATTGTGATTGTTGGGGTGTTGAGGTTTGATGGATGGCCCATGGTGAAGTTGCATGCTGAGCTTGTGTAGTTCTTTATCTCATGGGTGTCAATACCAGGTGTTGTGCATAAGAATCCTAGGTAGTCCTCGAAACCTGGAAAAGGTGGGTTAAACAAAAGTTAGGAGGCACAATTTTTGCTCACTCAATAATGACCAAAAGCCACCATTGGATAAAAAAATCACCTGCATCAAATATGAGTCCAGGATCAAGAGCAGCTTTTGGATTAACGTGGCCACTGCCATAATCAAAAGGAGTGGCCTCCACAAGCTTCACGGCTTCGGTTTCAGAGTATTGTTGCGCTTGAAGAGGCTTTCCTGCTCTGTCCAGCTTTGTTGATGTAGTCATCAACGCTGATTTTATAGCAGCAGGGCTCCAGCCAGGATGCTTCTGCTTCACAAGGGCAGCTATCCCTGCTATATGTGGTGCAGCCATGCTAGTTCCAGATATCATAGCAAATCCTTCTCCTATCAAATCAAAGGAAATGCTTGAGATGAGAGCATTTTCATTGTCATTTTCAAGATGTAGATATTTCTTGCCTTGTTCTGCAAAATACTTTTGAAATCTAGAATTGAGCATATCATTACCAACATAATTAGATTCATCTGTTCCATTTGGAGACCAAGCTGCCCAAATTAAAGAACCAGGAGCCAGAATGTCTGGCTTGAGAAGGTCTGCATCCTGGAAACTGAAATCTTTTATGTTTGGCCCCCGAGCAGAGAACAATGCTACCTGGGGTGCTGATTTGTAGAGAATAGGCATCAAACCATCCCCAATGCTACCTACAGCTTTGAAGCTTTTGACTCGTCCAGTCCAATCTCTTGGTGTAGAAATGTTATAATAGTCAATGAGATCCTACAGCATGGTTGTGTCCCAGCACAAAACCACAAAACCATAAGAATCAGCAAAAAGGAGATAAAGTTACAGAAAATGCAAGAGTGCCAACCTGAGCAACCAGTTAACAATAACTTCTTGTTAAAATTCAGATAGAGTAGAATGAAGTCATGACCATGGAAATTTGAATGGAGAAAGAGTGCAGAAATCTAAAATCAGTCTTTTCTGCATTTTACCCTTACCAAGTCAAAATTCACTTTTGAGACTTGACAAAATTACGCTACCCTGCAGCCTATTGACCAATTTTGCGACCTTATACCACATGAAAGACAGAATAATTACCATTGATTTAGAAACATCAGTGAGAAGGATCCCTGGAATACCAGTTGGAACAGGATCAAATTTTGTTCCGGGAGAGACATTTTCCACAGCAAGAACAAACCCAATTGCCCCCAGGGCTTTTGCTGTTTCTGAGACTTTCTTGATTGATGCAGAACCAACAATAAAATTGAAAGAGTAGCCACAAAGAAGAATGTTCCCCTCAACCAATTTCTTGTTTAATACTTCAGGTCTTTGGCAATCTGATGGGCTATACTTCAATACTGAAGAATCCAGTAGCACATCATTAGCAGCAACCATGGTAAATGTTCGATTTGGTTGAGTAGAGGCTGCAACAATTCATGATAGATATATATTAGCTTTGAAAAGCTAACTTATCCAAAGAAAATAGTAAACAACTTTCTGCCACATAAGCAATCCGAACCAGAACATGCATGAGTGTACATATTATCATGAAACAATAAGAGCCAAATACAGTAATAGACATGGAATTATATAAAACTGATATTAAATAAAGAGAGCAAACTCAAGAAAACCAATACTGATTTTAACAGCACTATGCAACTCCGCCCAAACAAAATATCAGTCATACCTTATAAAGACAGGTGAAGAGACTGTCCAAAATTCTTTAAAAACATTCTTTGTTTTATTCACTTTTCTCTTTCTTCATTTTTTATTTTTATTTATTTATTCATTTATTTTTCTTTCTTCTTTTTTTTTTGGCTCTATCATCCTAGAAGATCAGGGGGAAAAAAGAGGGAGTTTATAGAACTTACGGGACAGTCCAAGTCCAGGTAAGAGTTTCCCATTTCCCAGGGTCAGATGGTTTTTGTATCTACGGTCATCAATTGCAGCTGCAACAGATGCTATCCATGGGCTATAAGAAACCAAAGTTTTGGGGAAAGGACCTCCATTTCCAGCTGCCTGTGCAACAAATACACCGGCTTTGACAGCACCTAGAAGCGTAGCATCAAAAGGATTTAGAAATGTGGTCTTTGTGGTTGCTGCTGGACTATTTGGCCCCACTGAGAGGCTTAGTATATCCACACCATCATAAACAGCCTGTGCCAAAAGATCTGTCAAATTACAAGCTTTCTTTAATGATATAAACTTCAAGAAAATAGACCAAAAGGATGTAGAACTTTAACCCTTTTCACCATAAGTTGACCAAAAGGAAACAAGTTAACATAGCCGGTACAAAGGACATAGCTATTGAGATTCTTTTCCATAGTCAACTGATATCATTGAAGTTAAAAGTATAAACTTTTTGTCTATGCAATTAGCAAATGTAAACTAGAAAGAGAGTCAAAATGTGACATAACTCAATGGAGATCTCCATTTGAAAGGAAAATTTTGTCCAAAAAACTTGAACCTAAAATTTTAAAGAGTTGTAAAAAGCAGAAGTACAACAAGGTGGGGAGGAAAGGGATACAATATAACTCAGCTGTTGGATTGTGTCAAAGAAACATAAATACCTATGCAAGAAGTAACTCCACAATTATTTTCAAGATTTTAATATAGATAATAGCTCACCTGATCAATTGCAGCTACAACATCTGCAACAAACCCCCCAAAAAGCCTGTAAAGTGCCTTATAGACTGCAATTCTGAAACAAGTAACTTCCACTCTAGTATCAAATAATAATAAATCTTTTAATTGTCTTATCATCAATGAACTTTAGTAATCCACACCTGGCACGAGGAGCCATTCCACTTGCTTTCCCAAATTCATGGCCATGCATTCTCACAGGAATACCATTATTTCCAGCTGCTATAGCTGCAGTGTGACTATCAGTAATACAAAAGAATCAGATATATGTATCTCTTTCACAAAGAACCAGTAAAAAAATTTGTACACATTTCATTTAATAGCATGCTTATGGTTTTATAGATTTGCATGAAAAGATATAAACAAAAGTTTCACTCACCCATGGCCTTCTGAAGATTCCATTATCATCCTAAATATAATTGAAATGGGAGAAATAAACTTTTCCTTCAGGCAAGTGGAAGAGAGGTTTTAAGCAGAAAAATATTCAAGAACTTTGATCTCAGACATTGATGAGGTTTGGGAGGAAACATGGTTTCCATTGTGGATTTCTGGTTCGCCAGTTTCTGGACTGGAATCTATCCAGATATATGTAGCAAAGTAAATGGAGATTGCCTTAGTTACTTAAGTGCTAAAGTTCCCTGTTGTGCTCTCGGGTTAATTTGACACAGTTCCCTTTAACAACCTTTCAAGACCCCTTGTGTGTCCACAATCTAATAGTTTGAGTGATAAACACAAAAAAAAATATTTCAAATATAAGAACTGGTAGAATCCAGATTGGCAACTAACCTTCCATGTCCATCACCATCCATTGGAGATGCATAATCAACAGCAGGATTAAATGCCCCAGCTGCTATTGCAGCTTCAGCAAAATGTTGGGCTCCAATAATCTTGCCATTACAGAAGTCCCTCTTGGTCTCAGGATCAACCTCACATTTTCCTCTGTACTTTGGGAGAGGTCCATATGGTTCAGTATTATGGGTTGCAAAGCTTGGGTGTTGAGGATAAATTCCTGAGTCCACGAATCCTATCACAATGTTCTCTCCTGCCTTTTCAGAGCCACCTCCTGTTGGCCATACCCCAGTAGGAAGCCCCAAAAATTGTGGGGTATGTGTTG